CTCACATATTCATTATAAAACTAGTTAAACGAAACTATTTATTAAGTCATTTAGAATGAACAAGCTACTTATCATTACATTGAATCATGATAGATTTTTTTTCCTTCAAAATAAAAGTATCTTTAATTTCTTAAACAGGACTGCATCAATCTATGTCACAGATACACTACTCAATTAAATTTCTAAAACAAAACTATTTCATTTGAGAGGAGCAAAATGTATTTCGATAATACAAAAGTACTACCTCCCAAAAGTGCTGTATATGTACTAATGTATCACTCGCGAATTTCTTCAGATATTCATCTTCAATTCTTAGAAAGGCCTTAAAGTTTTGCAATTTTTTAAAAATCAATTAAATTTTGTAAATTTATCAAATTTTAAAATCCCTTCGGATAAAAACAAATTATCTCTCCAAAGATGCGTATTAAATGAAATATTATCAGTGAATTTTTTCAAAATTGTTTGATCAGAATTGTTTTTATCATTCGCAATATTATTGAATTATGTAATTTTTACCATATTTTTTTATATTAAAGTAAGATGTGTAGATTAATATTCACAATAAAAATTTATGCGCTAGGAGAGAAACATCAAGGCATTTTGGGAAGTATCAGCTATAGATTTCCGTTTTTCTCAAAAAATAAATTGCGCACCCGTTAAGATGGAGTCTTTTATTTTTTCAGAGGACCACTCGTTCAGTCAGCCAATGGAGCGCTGCTCAGTTTAGTTAAATAAGTAAAATTTGTCTTTAACTCAAGATAAGTTGTAGAGTACTTTTAATGGTAGTCCAAGAAAATTTATCTATAATTTACAGCCGAGAAGATGTGTTAGAATGTTACAATTGGATTTGGTGACAGGAGAATAACAATTAACAATAGCAAGTAAAAGTCAGTGAAGTTTAAGAGAAAAATGCTATCAAATTTCAAAAAAATTAGCACAAAACTACATTTTAAATTCAACATCGTTTACGAATCATTGCTTTGGTAGAAAGATTACATGAGAGAATGCAGGATCTTTTAACATCGGATAGTCGCCGGAAAAAAAATACCAACTTTTATAATTCAGACTAAGGGTGATGCTTTCACAGAAAAGTCGGAAAGACTTTTTGATATCGCTGCATCACAGTGCATTTTTTCGAGCATTACAATTGTGAAAACTCAAGGAAAGTTTATCCGATAAAGCAAGATTTTATATGACCACAGAGCTAGAAGATGGATTGATAATTGTGCTGATTTTCGAATCTCTGAACAGCTAATTAAAAAAAATGTGGAAGAACAGAAAAGGAATCCAACTTTAGACAAAGCATAAGTTATCAAATTTCACGAAAACAAGCAAAATGAAAGCGTTTTAGGAGCAGAAGAAATCAAAGAAACGCATTCCGAAAATTCCAAATTTGATGTAAAAAAAAAATAATAATAATTCTAAGTCTCCTCCTTTCCACGCCCTCTCTACTGTATAACACGTGAGTGATATGGAGTTCAGGGATGGACTCGAAATAGCATTTTTATATGATTTGCAAACAGAAAATGCTGAAAAAATATAGGATGATGAAGGCATGAAGTGTAAAGTTTCTACTATTATTGGAGAGAGATATGAAGTTTGACGGGAGCGAAAAAAACTGTAACGAAATTCAAATCAAAATCAAATGGCAAAAGAGTAAAACAAGCTTCAAGGAACTTTGATGGGAGAAAGGGTAAGATATCGGTCTTGGATGAAGCGAAACATTTCCATTCCAATCACAGATCTGAAGAGTAAGAAAATATATGTGGATTATTTAAGAACCAGGAACTAAATATCTTGGGCACGTCCCCCCATCAACTCTTTCGGCTAAACGCATAACGGAAGAAATTTTAAATTTTCTCATGAGCGAAACAAGTGATACTTCTAAAATTAGTTGTCTTTGGAGACGATGAAACCGCAATTAAAACGATGAACTTGAAAAAGTTATTTATCCTCTTAAAAGGAGTTTAAAAAATCCCTGCAGTGGGTGACATACAAGGTTAACTTAAATAAGCTACCACTAAGGCATATTATGAATTATCTGAACAGTTCGACAAGGATAAGTTCTCCAGGATTTTGGTCAACTCTAAATCCCTCCCAGTTATGATTTTCTTCAGACTGACAGAAATTTTGCTAGAGATTGGAGATCTGATCTCAATACAGATCAAAAATAATATATTAAAAGCCAGGTAATTTTTTATAGTAAATGTTCATTCAAATCTGGCGTCGTTATGCCCTAGGAAACTTTCAAATGCAAGATGACTCATCATGGCTAACAGAGGTCTTTTAGTAGGCATACATAGTTCAAATCAATCCGCTAACTTAATGGAGTTAACTTCTTTTATTATATTATAGTATAGTCTACTTTTATGAAAGTATAGGTTCCCATGTGGTTTTTTTGTAAACTGTAAATCCTTCATCAAAGCGGCTTCTGTGGACTCATTGGTTTTTCTCTCTCTTTTTTTTTTTTGTTGCAATTTTACGAGCCTCACTATAGTATTATTAATTTTAAAAAAAATCAGCTTAAAAGGGGGAAAAACACTTCATTGTTCAGTTTTGAAGAAAAAGTTAATGGAGCATTTCAGTAAATACACAACGTTTGCGGTAGTACGCTTTCATATGGAAATTTTGAAAATTCTATAATGTTCATAATTTTTTTTTAAATGTTAAAATTTTACTGAAAGAAAAAAATAATAATGTAACTGAAAAATGTTTTACAACCAATATTTTCCTTCAATTGCTTTTATTCTCAACCGTGTTTCATATTCTCAACGGAAGAGGTAGTATTTGCAGAGGTTGTTTCTACTTCTGGCCAAAGATTCACTTGCATTGATTTCGATTTGTTTTTGTTTTCAACATCTTTCGGTTTACTTTTTAATGTAATTATTTTTTTTCGATGGCAAAAAATTCGTTTGCAAGTGGTGGCAGCTGTTCTGCGTTTGGATACACAATGCTGAAGAACGGATTTGTTATTTGAAATTAGGATGCTTAAATTCCTTAACGACTCATCATGCCTAATTCAATGAAGTAATGTATTAAAGGAAGACTAGAAAAAAGTCCCGTTCTGCTGTGACGTCAGAGGAGAGCAGTAAGACTTTCTGCATTTTTTTTTATTATTTTTTTTTAAGAATAGATTGCGACTATACAACTTTTGAGAGGTAATTTGTTTTCAACCAAATGATTTTAAAAATTTGCTAAGTTTTAAAAATTTTGCTGTTTTTTTGAGAAAAAAAAATTACAAAATTTCAAGACCTTTGTGGAAAAAGAAGATTATGCATAAAAATTCGGAAAAAATTCACGAGCGCTTTTCAATTATCGAAAACTTCTTTTTTCGCTCTACCCAATTAGACAAACAAATAATAATAATAATTTATAAACAAATCATTCATCATTTCATTAGATAATAAGATGCATTTTCTCTTTAAAACGAACTATGTTCTCTTTATTTATAAAAGGAAACAGGGTATTAGAAAAATCATTCTAATTGTATGGATAATTTCTTTTCGTTTTAGCCATATTAATTTAAAATTAAAAAATATCACTCGTAAAATAACGAAATAAAGAGACAAGCGGATTATTTAAGAAAGAAGTATAAATATAAAGCAAATATTACAAGCTAGGAATGTTAAGTATAAAGCTAAAGAAACCTAAAGGCTTAGTAATAAAAAAAACTAATTGATTAGATTAATGGAAGCTTAACTGCATTGTGCTACATTTTGTAAAATGAGAAATTAGTGACTAGAACAATGTAACGAATAATACTGATAAACTAATAGGAACTTTAAATAATATATGCCACGGCAATTTTAAAACTGATTCAAATCAATAATTATCTCACTCAGAATAAGTTTTCAACTAATTGTACAAAGAGTATTTTTTAAGCAAATATTTAGCCAGAATAAAACTATTTAATACAGATATTTAAAGTGTTGATATTCCAGGAAGGTTAAAATAATTTAATGACTATTTATTTCATCAATCATTCATCATGAATGATAGTTCGTATAACTTGAATTTGATTAAGCAAAAAAAAATTTTTTTCTAGAAATTCTTAGGCTTGAATTAAATATTTAAAGCAAATAATACAAAATTAATTTTTAACTCACATTTATGTCATTTTGTTTGTTTACTTTTTTTATTTTAAAACGAATGCACTTATTTATGTAATTTGAATAAATTAAAATACATGAAATAAAACATGTCTTTCGAAATTTTACTTTATAAAGGAATAGAGTGTAAACTAATTTTTTTTAAATAACATGCAATATGATTATGAAATTTCGAAATAGTTTTAACATCAGAATGAAGTAGTAGCTCATCAACTTCTGATAATAAAAATACTGAATTTCATTTACTATAAATTACAAATAATTGATTGAAAGATATTTAATATTAAATAGATAACATAAATATTAATTTAAAATTATTTAACTATTCAAGATTATGTTGAGAATTAAAAAACATTAAATGAATATCTAGAAATGCATAATTTCTTTACGTAATTCAACTAAAACAATTACTGCTACGTAGTATGTTGTGGCAGAATAATGCAACATTGAATTGCTATTTGCTATATTCTGATTAATTAAACGGATTAATTCAATTTATAATAGTAGTTTCTTACAAATTTAAGAAATAATGAAATACAGATTTTTGTGAATGCAAATTGAAATATTTTAACAGCATGTTTAATTCTTAAATTTCTAAATTAGTGTTGACTAGATTGTATTACACTTAAAAATTAACAACTCTTAAACATAAACAAGGAAAAGAACATTTACTAAAAACTTTTGTATGCATTTTTTTCCTATTATTTTCAGGATAAAGCATAATAATACTTCATAAAAATATTTAAGCATTTGTAACTAATAATGTAGATCAATCTCATAGAAACTGTCATTTTCATGAAATACAAAAAAGAAGGAAAAAAAGTAGTTTCTAATGTAATTTCTAATCACATAAATTGTAATTTCCATATATAGATACTTTTTAAACAATTATGGCTGCAGCTATTATAGAAATTTTCCCCAATCCTCTTCGTTTCCTCTTTTTCTACAATAGTAAGAGATCGATAAAATTATTAAGATTTAAAAATAGCAGTTAGGTTTTGTCAACTGATTTTTGACATAACTCAAATTTAAATATATTATAACATGATAATAACCTATAATAATTAAATTTCTAGGCCCTTCTTTTTATTTTACTTTAAAAAATAGGAAACCATGACGAATATGTGATTTGGTATTTTCAAATGAGTTTTAGAGGCAAATCTTCAGTAAAATGAGGACGAAAGCATTCCGAATTGTGGTTCTATTTGCTAATCATTTAAGTTTTTAGTAATAGATTTTAATCTATGGAAAGTTTGGTGGGTTACTAGGTTTTTGGTAAGAAACAGTGCAGAACACAATAGGGATAAACTTTCAAATTGCGTTATGGCAATATTTTTTGTCAAAAATTTAATTTAAAATTGATTTTTCGAATTGCATGTTCAGTAAACTGAAATGACAAATACGAAAAGGTAAATTGGTAAATAATTTAAAAATTTTTTCTTCAATTTTGAATCAACAGTGTGGCCAATAAAAGAATGATATTTGGGTATACAGTAAAACCTCCGTTAACGACCCCCTCTAAACAACGGTAACCACAGATAAACGACCATATGTTTCTGGAACCGAGCGTCACGACCATATGTTTCTGGAACCGAGAGTCACGACTATATGTTTCTGGAATCGAGCGTCGCTCATAGTATTTGCATCACGAGGAACCTTTGAACACTAATTTCTGAACAATGGCTACTGGTTTCTAGCTTGAATTTTGTATTAGTATGTATGTTATTTACCTTCTTGCAATTTTTCATCTCTTGTCTGCAATAATTTTAACTGATCATTACTAAATATATTTTCACCCATTGGCTATTGCATTCAAGTTATTAAAAGTAAATTTTAGCGTTCATAAAGAAGTGAAATAGTTTTGACTGTTCAATTCTAACTACTGCAGATAAAGGGCATCTCTCATGGGTAGTCTGCTAGAAATCAGTGTAATTTAGCTCTAACATGCACAATGACCGGTAATTCATGATACATCATCGATAAGTTTTCAGTTTAATTAGTTCGCAAAAATTGCCTAAATTTACGCGAAAGAAATAATGCATGCTTGCGCCTGGGCAGTATTTGTTGAGCAATTTCATTTTTATCCCTTAAAGATCTTGACGCTGGAAGAGTGGACGTCTGAATAAGAACTTAAGAAAATAAATAATCGAAATATGAGTGATTAACGCAAGCGAAAATTCCTCCAAGTAAATAAGAAATAAGCTCGCCAAAGTTAGCTTCATTATAATGGCTGTGGAAAAACTCAAATCTATGACATCTTATAAAAAAAGATCATCGTAATAAATTACAATAATAATTATAAATATTTGGTAAGTTAACTATTCATTTGAGTCATCTTGTTAGTAATAATATATTTTTTATTTTTATTGTTTGATACTGTTTGTAATTTTTTATTTTTATTTTTCTGATCGACACATTCGGTAATAACTCCAAAACACGGCCACTACTTAAAATCTATCACATGGACAGCTCTTCGGAGGTTTTACTATGTTAATATACTTAAAAATTTAAAAATGGTAATCATATTATTATTATTTCGTTAAAATGCATTCTAGAAGACATATTCCTCTCATAAAAAGTACATAATTTACCCTGGAGACTTAAAAATGACAGTTTTTATGAAAATGACTCGCATATAGTATATCATATCAAAATTTATGAATCGTAATATTTTTATAATTATAAATCTATAGTAGTTTCTTAAGCAAACATAGAAGAAAAAAAACTACCAAACGCTACTTCATTAAATTAATTCCTTTTTCAGTAGCAATTATTACCGAAATTGTTTTCTTGCAGTGACAATTTCTTCGATCAATCTCTGTCCACCTCGCACCCCTTAAGCGATGAATAATTATAATATTTACATTAAACCTATTTCTACATATAATACGCATTAACTTTTTTGTAGTTATCTTTCAAGAGGGATATAAATAGCTAGACAATGATTTACATTAATAAAATAAAGAAATATCCAAGCTCTTTATATACGAAGCAAACAGCAACGACCAATGAATTCCAGAAGGGTATTACCTGCTGTAGAAGCAGAACAAGCTTAAGCTGTAATAAACTTATTTATAAGCATCTGAAATCCCGTGAACTACAGCAAAATCATCTCTATTTACAAAACAATGGCTTCATGAAAAGTTTTTTCTGCATAAGTGACACTTGGACTGAAAGCTGTACCACTTTTGCCAGCAAGGAACTAACACAATACAGAAAAATACACCACACATGACAGGAATGGCGCCACAAACAGAGCGTCAGAGAAAATTTTTAACCCATTACTGGCCACACATAGAACAATTATCTCAAGTGCTTCGAGTTGCGTCGGACACATCTACTTCTTCCTTGTTGTCGTCTGATGGATTAGATGCTAGTTGGTATGGTCGATCCTCTCCCCTCATTTCGCAGATAACATTGGTCAGGGCCATGATGTAATGTTTGGCCAGTGTGAGGGTTTCTATTTTTGAAAGTTTTTTCTGCATGGCTACATGTGGTATGACTTCTCTGAGCGCTTGAAAAGCATCATTCAGGCTGTGCATTCTCATTCGTTCTCTCTCGTTGCTTTCTAGTCGCCTGAGGTTTCTTTCTCGTGCACTCAGCGTAGAGCGTCTGAAAAAAAAATCAAAATTTTACTAAATATGAATGACTTTTTTTTTTTTAAAGAACAGTGAATCAGAAAAATTGACACTCAGTACAAGTTTGTTAGGTCCTTTGATTGCGGTGTTTGGTATCTTGATGAAACGAAGAACAATTCTATAACAAATTAGGACGTTATTTTCTTATGCATAATTTGATTCAGAACCTTATCATAGCATCAAAAATTATACTTCAAAAACATCGTAAAATTGACCCGATGAAAATATTTTTAAAACTATTTCAGCCACGGTTTAAATAAGCTCTGTAGCTGGCAAAGTACCAAGAAAACTAAACAAATAGAAATGTGAGAAAATCAAGTGTGGATCGAGTTGTCTAATCGGAGGAGTAACTGGATTGGTGTTTTATTTAAGGTTTGGTATGATGATGACGTGTGAATCTTCGCAAACGTAAAACTCATTGACTTTCATCGTGTAACAAAGATTTAAAAATTGTTCATCTTTTGTCCGAAGTCAATATGCCAGTTCGAAAAAAGTTAAAAGACTGTAAGATTGTCAACTGTAAGATTGTCAACTATAAAATTGTCAACTGGAAGATTGTTAACTGTAGGAATTGATAAGCTGAGCATATAATCAACCAATGCGTCAGTGTGTACTTCCAAACATTAATCTTAAAACTTTTATTTTAAAGTTCATGCAATGGAACAATTTATTGGTCAAAACTGAGTAATAAAATTACGAAACCAACATCAACAGAAATATCTATTATGATATGTTATCTATATCTATTACATCAGATTATATATTATGAGTGCGTAGCCAATACTTTGTTAAAAATGTTTACTTTCAGTTTATAGAATCTAGCTTGTCCTTTTCTCATCTTCGAAAAACTTTCTTAAAGCCTAGTTTGCAATATTTCGGATGAGTATAAATTGTTTTTACAAAGAAATAGGGGAGGTTATGAATTTACTGTCGCCAAATGTTTAAATAACGATACGCTTATTTTAATATTATTTTATTTTTATATTAAATATTATAATATTGTTTTTATTGGCAATAAATATGAGAGATTTAAAATTAAGATAATTTAGACAAAAGCATATGTATAAGGAGTTTATAATAGAAAAACTCTCCTAGCTGCGTACCATGATATTTTTAATCATGAGTTGCTGTGCAATTCTCGATAAAGATGGTCTACCTCAACTTTAATTTTGTAAAAACTTACTAGATTCAGCATGCATATCTACAAGAGTTTCATATTATGCAGAATATTCTTGTTTTTCAAGTCATGAAAAATAGGAAATAATAAAATCACTTTTCAAAGGTGAAGCCTGTAATCGTTTTTTTCCAACTAATAATAGAAATATCTTTTTTTGACCTGAGTCCAGAGTATAAGTAATGGTGGCTTTTTGTTGCCACATGAGTTGGTAAAAACTCAGTGTAAGTAACCTCTTTCACCCGATCTCTTAAGCCTGAATGTAGTGGATTCGAATTCCGCTATAACACTGGATGTCTCTCTATAATTCTTTCTCAAATTTGTGATGTTTTTCAAAATGGAAAATGCTTTTAAGTAATTTCTTTTAAGTCGTTACAAAGAGACTCATAAATGTATGTCAATAAACAAATAAATTCGACTGTTACCTTAAAAGATAGATAAAACAAACACCATAGCTTGATAAACCGATTTCATCGCTAAAACATTATAATTGAACATTTGAAGTCATCATTCATGCCACTTTTCTCCTTGTTAAAATTGAGAAATATGTTAGGAAAAAAAATATAAATAACCTTCGATTAATACCTATAAACCATTTAAATAAGCCGTCATTTTAAATAAAGCACAGAAGAATAAGCAGATTAATACTATTTTATTTAGTAAAAAGAATATACATCAAATGGGGAAAATTTCCTAATAAATGCTAAAATGTATGATGGTTCGGAAGAATGTTTTGGCAATTTTATCGTTACACTTTAGAGCATGGAATTGAAACCATTTATTCCACACAATTTACTTTTCAGTTTAGTATTTTATACTAAATGTGTGGTATTAAGAACTATAATTTTGAAAACCAGAATTTCCGGTAAAGAGTTACCATAATGAATAGTACAATTACCTAATGAATGGTTTAAATACCGTATATTTCAATTCATTTAGTGGTAATGTATTTTTTTTCCAGAGATGTTTTTACCATACAATTATGGTTATTTTGAAAGAAATTTTACTTATCTTTGAAAAGCTTGGTCAACTATTTATCAAATGATACATAGAGTAAGTTTACCTGCAAGAAGAAATATTTTAAGGAATTTTAAGAACAATAAGAACTAGACTCATACTATATTATTCATTTCTATATAAAGCTGCTATGTTAATGGTGTTTTATTGAATGATTCTTTTCGTTAGAAAAATTATTATTTATATCTTATTAGTTTTTGTACAATTGAAGAGCAACTTAAACATATTAAGTTATTTTAATCTTTATGTGTACTTTTCAGTAAAATACGCACACGTATATACATTTAAAATTTCACTTTTTAAAGGAAGTTATGAAACATTTTATTGCTACTTTAATAGGGCTTGTTATTTTATGGCAGTAAAAACTCAAGTTAGGTGGGATTTTTTTCTCGAAATTATAAGATTATAACAGCTATGACAATAACAGCTGTAAAAATGAGAAAATGTATCTTAATACCTTTTAATTTTAGATACTTTGCCTTAAATAAATAAGCTAATTAATGCAAAAATTTTTCGAAAAAACACAAATTTAAAAATATTTTTACATAATAATATTTTATGATCTAGTAGAGAAAATAAAATTAGTAATACATTTACTTTCTTATTTATCGATACATCAACATGTTTCATTTTGATACAGAATCATTTATATAGAAGGATGGAATTCTTTTTACTGCATTCCCAAGAATGAAGGAAAAGACAAATTGCTTTGTAAAAACAATTACCTTTTTTTGTGCGTTCGATTATTTGATCTTCGTCGTTTTGAGCTTTCTGGCTCATACATGGAATCATCACCTGAAGATTCAGTATCATCCTCTCCTTTTCGCATGTCATTTTCTTCTTCTTTTACCTCTCCCATAAGTTCTTTCAAAAAGGCCTCATCATATCGCTCCCAACCTGCTTCAGAAGCATTCAGGGATTGAATCCCAAATTTTTCCATATTTCGAAGATCAGGAGATGGTGACATCATTTTGGAGATGCCTGTAAAAATATATAAAAGTGATTAGGTTGACTCTAAAAGAAAAATAAGTTAAAAAAATAAACAGTTCACACTCAGAAATAAAACTTTTGACGATTCACCAATCCTTGACTTGTAAATCGTTAATTTCGAGAATCACTCCGTCAGGAAATCATGTGATTTGCGATAAAACGCGAGCTCTCAAATATGTGACGAAAATGTTTCTCAAATATCTGACGAAAACCTCCTCTTAGAGCACAGCGGGATATTATTAACGAGAATGACGAAATTAGAATGAAGACTAGACGATTGGAAATAAAATGACTAAATAAGCGGACCTTCTACTTGCTGGGCAAGCAGTTGGTCTCGTACCGGAAGATTCCGAGTTCGAATCCCTTTTCGGGCATGAGAGTAGTTTATTTCTCTGTAGTATCTATCTTTCTTGCGTTATTGAAGCTGCATTTATCCGCCTATATGGAGCCCATGATCAAGTGATTATTAGGAAAGTTAGATACATAAGGAACTACCAGGTTTAATTTATATTTTTTTGAAAAAAATAGATGAATAGAGTGACGAAATATTAATTTAATTTTGACGAATTTCGTTTCCTCGAAGAAGTGATGATAGTTATTTTGTCACTTCGATGAAATTTTTGATCGGAGCATATACTGTGAAACGGTTTCGTCAAAAATGAAGAAAGCTATGTGATATTTGAGTATAATTTTTTTTACTGTGTTTAACAGCATTAACAAAAGCCGGTTACCTCCTAGCAGCTTTTTGGGCATCACACTTAAATTAAATAAAATATTTAATATAATTTTAAGATAGCCTATTTTAACTTTTAGTATAAATATCAATTTCAAAATTTCCCTCCTTTGATTTATACTCGGAGAAAATTACCGTATTGGTATTGTAATGACATTTCTTATATAAAAAAAAACCTCATTAATTTTGGTAATAAAACCAAAACATACAGTAATTAGAACATTTATTTTGAATAATTTTTCAGTTCGTATGGTATTGGTCAACCTGGTATTCTGGTTTTAAAAATTATACTTTTTATTTCCACACGTATAGTAAAGATACAAAGCTGAAGAGTAAATTTTACCAAATAAATAGTTTTCATGCCATGCTCTTAGGTATCATGATAAAATTACTACATTTACTACCAAACATCATGGTAATAAAAACATATTTTATTGTTAATTTGTTAATTTTATTAAAAATCATTACCAAAGCGCTTCGGTAAAAATTACCGTGCCTTTGGTCATAGTCAGAGCGTGCCCGTATAGTTAGAAAAACGGTAAATTTTATCCAAATCTGGTAGTTTTGAGAATACTTTCTTTCTCAGTGCATGGTTTGTAATGGAATAAAAACAAGCTTCAGCTAAACGGAATGCAGAAGAAGCTTCTTAAAGAAAAATAAATTTAAGAAGAAAAAAAAAACAGCTATAATTTAAGCCATTTGATTTTTAACCACCACAGCAAATGTTTAGTATTTTTTTTCCAAATCAAAACCAGTTTCTGCTTCTTTTTCTAGAATCTTTTGTCTCGTTAAAATTAGATCTCCAATCTTGCCTAGTATTATTCACAAACTATTACTGTACAATAGAGTGCTGCTCATTATTTTTTAATCAAAAATTAAAATTTTAAAATTACAAATATTGAAGAAAAATTAATATGCTGAGACTTACAGATTTTCCATCAAAATATTTAAAATAGAGATACCTTAAAGTTAAAATAACGATCACATAAAAGTACTTATACAGTTATTTTATGCATGTCACGCATTTATTAAACGATATAAATGTATCTATACATTTTCATTAAAATGAACAATTAAATACGATTGTAAATAGTTTAAAAAGAGAATTTTTTGTTGTTGCTGATTTAAGTCTCCGGTGTAGTGATTAAAACTATTCACCATAGTATCATCAAAGAATATAGTGTTAGAGTAAATTAGCGTTAATTTCAAATGAATTTGAAATATTTGAATTAATTAAAGTTATTTGTTCATATTTCATATTCTTAACAAAACACACTCAAATGAATTTGATTTCACATCAAAACATTACTTAATTTTTCTATTTCGAAATTTTTAAAAGAAATTCATGTCACTTATGAAAAGAATTGTAATTATTTCTGATACAACTGTAAAAATTGCTTTTACTTTTTTTTGTTTTATTCAATCCCTTTTTGAGGCACCTTCAGGAAAACTTGCATTAATCATTATTCTGACAAATGAAAAAGCAATGTAAGTTTATTTATTAAAAAAAAAGTTTTAATATTCTTTCTTAAATGTGAAATATTTTTTCTCCATCTGAAGATTTTTTGCTCTAATTGTATTGAGAAGAATTCTTAGATTACAAATAAAACATATTATTTTGAATCATAGTTAATAGATGATGGATGTGAAATTCAGAGTATTATGTTTTTTTGTCAGTCTTAAAGTAGATTATTTATTAGTATTGATGTATACTTTCAATGTTTATATTACACAGTTATAGGAATATGTGCAGTTAAGTGATAACTTATAAACTTACATTTTTTATTTCTCAAAGTAAGTTTGGCTTTAGTTAAAATTGTTAAACTAATTCATATAAGTATCTTATTCATTGTTTGTATTTCAAAGCAAAGTAAAAAAAAAATCGAATTGTAGGCCAGAAGATACTGATTTCGCAATCAAGGACATAATTGCGACAATGTGGTTAGCTTTGTACCCAAGCCCTTTTTACTTCTCAGGCAAAGAAGAAGGAAACTGAGTTCGGTATTTTCTGCCATTGAACAACAGTCATTCAAGAAGGTAGCTCAGTGTCTTTAATTAATGCACTGTTAGAAATTCCTCGGAAAAAATGGGTAAATAACAATTTATTGAATGGTTATTTTACCATATTTAATCAAAACAGTCAAAGAACCCTAAATAAAATGGTAGTCAAACTGTTAAATTTGAGAAAAACTGCTTATTAACTGCTTTCACCTAATACGGTATAACAACCAGAATTTTGACGCACCAACTAGAACGACCTAATGACGATACTTAGTTGTTTGCAAAAGCGTGCATAACATAACCGAGCGGGCTTATCTGTCAATCACATGACCGGCAGAACTTGAGTTCGAGTCCTAGTGCTGACCTCACAATATTTCCTCCATTCCTTTCAACACATTAAGAATTTCCAGTGTTAGGCACTCTCCAATGCCCATTACCTTACGAAAAGCCAAGCTCCTATGTCTAGTTACATAATTAAACTTTTTTTTTACGTTTTTGAAAAATGCTAGTTGTAAATGGTTAAAAAAACGTATAGTTTTCGATTCATGGTTTTATAACCATACTTTTTGTAAATGGTTTGAAAACGATAGAGGAAAATTTTTTTCTATACCCTAAACTTAACGGTTAATTGAATAAACAAACAGCTGCCAGTTATTTAACCATAATTTTAGAATGAAAATTTTAGCAGTGTGATCCACAACGCCAGCATTCTTTTTTTTATTATCTTCATGTTATTCAAAGCATCAATAGATTTTTATGAAAATTTATTGGTTTCAACCATATATGGCAGTACTTTTACTTTCGTTACTTGTACCGCCGGTACAAGTAAAAAATACGTACTTTTACTTGTACTTCGTTACTTTTTAAATTTAGTACTTTTACTTGTACTTTCGTTACTTTTTTAGGGAAAAAGTACAAGTATTTGTAACGGAAATATCGAATGAAATCGTTACTTTTTTCTAAAACTCGGTAAGTTTTCTAAGGAAAAAATAACATTAAAAAAAATGCTTATTTTTTTTTAATTTATAAAATTAATGTGCAATATATATGCATTCACAGCTAACTTCGTGTTTAAATACCTTCTGTTTCAACTTATACTGCACATTCAATTATTTTTTACTAGCTCAAAGATCACAAAGCTATCTGAAACCCCGTGTTTGCTTTGTTTATGTTTGTGCTTTTAAAACGCGTTTCTATAGAGTAAAACAATTTTAAATCAATGGTAATTTAAATAAATAAAAATAATAAACTAAAAATTAAAATCAATAGATAAAATTTCTTTTTCGTGCAAATCCATAAAAAGTTTGATACTAAAATTATATTTGATTTTAAAATTATATTATACGATTATATTATAAAATTATATCATAATATTCCTTCGAATTTAAAAATAAATTAATGTCCATAACTTTCAAAATTAAAAATAATTAAATAAATAACAACAATTTTTCAAAAACATTAAAGAACATAAGACTATTATTCAATAAAATTTTAGGTTACTTTGAATTTTCGATTTCCTAGAAATGTACTTTTAAATCGTTACTTTTTTTGTTTAGTACTTGTACTTTTACTTGTACTTTTTACTCGTTACTTTTTAAAATAAGAACTTTTTACTTTTTACTAGTTACTTTTTTTAAAAATACTTGTACTTTTACTCGTTACTTATTAAAAGTAACGTTGCCATATATGGTTTCAACTGAATAAATATTTAGTTATTGTGCATTTAGTATAGATATATTTAATACTATTGTATAAAGTTCATTCAAATTTACTTGTATGAAAAGGATGTTTTTTCAAAGATCTATAAGACAATTTTTTTTTTAAAATGATCAACGAATCCTTCAAGCAAAATCTATCTAAAAGTTGTAAGTTTCTAAATAGAAATGGAATTTATCACAATTTTAATGAGCATTATAAAGAGGAAAGATAAATTATATAGAGGAAAGATTTCTATTTTTATGATGCAAGATTTCTATTTTGACAACCTGAGAAGCTTCGTGACTAAGGAAAGACTGCGTAAGTTAATCTTCGCGAAATCAAGCAAGGTTACTAATGAAACTTTATTAAGCGAAAAAAAATGTTAATTTGAAAAGAATAAAAATAAAACAAACAATTGGATGTCATTGCATGAGTAACAGTTCAAAAAACTTGAAAGTAAACATTTTAGCACTTTTAAGTATTTGCAAATCGATTTTCAAAAGTATTCTTCTCTTCAAAAGTGGATTATTTTATTTTGAGGAAAGATTAGTAGAAGAAA